GTTGTGGCTTCGTGCAAGAATGCGAATGAGTCAGATCTTGCATGAGAGCTTATGGCCTTACTGGGAAGGTATGGGTACTTATGAGTCAAGGCTTGTGTAACGATTTACGGTATACTGAACCATGACATATATGTGTATGGGTGATTTCCTCTGAAACAAATAAAATATCGTCTCCAGAAAATCCAAAATATTTGTAATAATCAAGGAGTTTCGTACAGCTTGTTTTATATTAATAGGTACTAAAGTCATTTGATCTTATTTGTTGTTATTATTATCATTATTGTCTTTGTTACTGCCATTGTTATTGCTATTTTATTATCTGACCTATAACAAAAGTAGTATTTTAAGGGGGCTCCTTCGCGAAAGTCCCCAAACAGAGATAGATTATTTCTTGTAAATAAAAGTCTACTGAATTTAATGGTGGTCTAAATTATATTTCGAATGGGTCAAAATTTTGAGAAATCCGAGCTCAAAGTTGTAACTATTAGCACGTGTTCCTATGGGGCAGCCTGAAAAACAATTTGTTTTCGTTTATAATAAACCTAAATTAAATGTCCCAGCAGACTGAATATATACGTTTTGTAGATGAAGTCTTCCTCTGTAATATGCTGTATTAAAAATTGTGGATAAAGGAGCATTTTAGCGAGATATTTGTGATGGAAATAAATAAATAGTGTCCGGGAGGTCAGTAGCAGACGTACTTGTTCACGACATATATATATCATATACCTATATATTACATCGCTATACTACACCAACACAGGTGGTGTACCCTCGTATGCACTAGACTGGTCAAAACAATAATTAATTTTTCGTACAAAGTTAAACTGCACACATAAATATCATTTTTCCCACTTCATACGTTATTCAAAATATCATAATGATTTTCAGACACATTTGTTTATTGAAAAACAAAACTTTACTTTTTGTTTGTCTTTGACCTCAGCAGTAGTCGTAGGAACCCCCTTAATTTTGGTGCACATTGCTCGACTCCTGAGGTCGGTATGATCAGCAGCGTTATTATCGTGAGAAGCCCATCCTGCATCCTATGGCGATATAATATATGTCGAAGCAGTATACCTTTGGGTAGTTGGATCGATAATGCACGGAGGGGCTCTTTACAAGGGAGATAGCGATTAGTATTGAATTGAAGGTTCGATTACCCGAATTGAAGTTAGTTGTAAGATTAGATGTCAAACTAACCTTGGTCAAGCACCTTGTTACCGACAATTACTTACTACGAAGGTTCGTACTTTCGGGGAGAAGAGCAAGGAAAAAAAATTTTCTGCATACCCCCGCTGAAAGTGCTTCAAATCTGACCTGCTCCAAAACAGATAATCAGCCTTTTCGGTGAGGGTATGCAGAAAAACAGTATACGCACCACGTTCGGAGGTTAAGAAATGTCCTAGATTTCACGCTATTTGCCCTCGGCTTCGCCCCGGGCGTTTATTCACGTGAAATCTAGCGACATTCTTAACCTCGCTCTACTTCAGTTTCATTTTGCACATGATCTTTTGTTTTTGGGTTTGAAAGAAATGTGTAAGTAATAATTAATACCTTTTATTTTAATATATTGCATGTAAAAACACATCCATAAGTTGTAAAATAACCGAAAAGTTTGAACAAAAGATATATCTTATAATAAAAATCCTAAACTATTAAAAAGTTGTTACAATAAATCTTTTTAAGTATTAATAATAATTAATAGATAAATTACATCTCAGCCATAGGTATGTAATTCATTTTTTTTCAATGTATAAATAAATTTAATGGTCGACATACCATAAATAAACTTATTTAGATTCCCTAAGTGATATCGAATGCAAAATTATAATTTTGTCTAAAATCGACATTATTATTTAATTGAAAAATTCTTTTCATTCTATGCGAAATGTTGCATCATCACACTTTAAATACTACTACGTACAAGATTCGATTGTTAATTATTACATAGATATTGAAAAGATTATGGTTTTTGTAAAAAAGTTGTTTAATGGGAACAAAAATAATAAAAAACACATTTTAAATCAGTTATTAAAACTTCAAATCCTTTTCAAGTATTTTTTCGATTCAATACTTATTTTACGGATTTAATGGATCAAACTTTATTATTAAAAATATTTGTTGTTAAATTTTTTTTTTTTTTTTCATCATAAGGAAATAACGTTAAGTTTTGCAATCTTGAAAATTTTTGAATAATGTAGTTTATAATTTTGCTAGTTTTTTTAATTTTCTGCATCGTGTACTACAACAGTTACTTTGTAGTATATCTTTAGCAAAATGTTAATTTTCTTTCATAGTTGGAAAGTCTATGCATTGTGTATTCGGAAATGAGATTTCACTTAGATCTTTGGTTGGGACGTTTACTCCACTAACGCAGCGTGTAACAGAGAACTAATCAAATAAAAAAAACTTTAAAAGTTTAAAAAATATCTCGGAAACCTTGGCTTACTTTTGTTTTCATTCGAAAAAAACAGACGAGTCGGAAAAAATTTTTGTGGTCGAAAATCATTCGTGGTGCGTTGATTTTTTCTTTTTTACTATTAATTTAATCAGAAATAGTGTTATTGCCACAAATACTTTTACTGTTTTCTCTACTATTTTCGATTTCGGTAGAAAAGCAAAATTTTTCAAGAAATGTTACTTTTTATCAAGTCATGTACCAGTCAAGTACCAGTGTGTCATAATAAATCCATACAAATAAACTTTTAAATGAATTTTTTTTTTTTTTTCAAACTAAATGGTTGTAATACAAGCTTAAAAACATATGCTTTTTCAAGAGAAGAAAAAAAAATTAAAATTTAAAAACAATTACGGTCTTAAATCACTTTTTGATTAAAATCTGGTAATTTTCTATTTAAGTAAATTTTTATTGGCTGACCGAGCATAAAGAAATTTTTTCTTCATTTTTTTTTACTACCTTAATAATTCTGCTTCAAAAATTAAAAAAAATAATTTTTAGCGGAACAAATAAGCCCTCATTGGTATGGTTGGAGGGCTTATGTAATAATTGTATATGCGTGTACCATTAAAAGTTGTTTTATCAAGAAATTAAAGAAATACTTGATTTTTTTAAATCGTCAGTTACTCGGAACACACCCTTAATGTATATATGAAAAATACGACCTAGGTCTACTGAACACACGGGTATAGCTAGAAAAGTGGGAGCACAAATCAGCACACCAATAACTTACAGGCTAACGAAGTAGTATGCATAATACATATGCCCACTGCCTAGGGCGGTAAGGCATTTTACACTACACAATCATGCAGCTTGAAAATTACTCATAATTGCCCACAATGTGTCACTGCCATCAGGGGTGTTATTTCCCGTAACTTCTATGTAGCTAGTGCTGTAGCTACTTATAGAGTTGTGTGCAAGGATTTGATGGCACGTATTCATTCATATAATAAATATATGCGTTTAGCGCAAGTTCATAAAGTTACGGAGTATCACCTCAGTGGCTTTCGTATATCACCACAGGCGGAAGTAAAGACTGCTCCATTCATATGGTCATGTTCATTACCTTCACCTTAATAGGCTCGGGTGACAATACATACATAAGATCTGTAACATTTTATACTTCAACCGTCACCACAATTAAGCCACAATTTAACATGTCATTTTATTTAATTGGGGGTACACACAAAGGTCTTACGCAAATCTTATTTCCAAATACACCCCATGTAAAATTAATTCAGCCAACTTTTATGGCGGTGAACACTTAGGTAGTTTGAACTTTGAGCTATTACTGCTTTCTTCACTCTTACTTTATATAGAATATTAGAATCAGATTGGCCATATTGATAATTATCATCATGACAAAGCTGTAACTATTTCAATTTTCTAAATATTTCGCACTGTTTAGTCTTTGAAAGAAGTAAATCATTGATAAAAATTTGGTAAATCATACTAAGTTAACAATAAAATTAATCTTACTGTTCAATTTATTGTAAAACAAAAATCAAAACTCAATTTTGAATATTTGTAAAATATGATGCAGATAATAATCCATAATTTTCTTTTAATATCATCAATGATTAATGATAAAACAAATCATTTGTTTGCTTTAGATACTTATGTGGTTTTTTACTTTACAATTATTTAACTAAAATATTAAAAATAATTGATTCTACTTTTAAAAATAGGTTGGTAACTGCTGCCTTTTTTATGTTATGAAATTCTGACGTGATAGCTGTGCAAAATTTTATATAAGTGTCAATTTATGTGTAATATAGAAATTTTACGTGGTATTACATCAGCAAAAAACATTTACTGCACAAAAAAATGTCGTCTTATAAATCTATTGTATTCTCATTCTTTGATAACTATCAAAACTAACAAAATAAGTCATCAAATCCAAATTCATATAAATATAACTATCTGTACTTCATTGCAACTTTACTAATTATCAAAATAAATTGCTACACCTTCCTAAGACTATATTGGTATTTTCATTAAATTTTCATTAGATTTTCTATGTACAATACTTTTAAAAAATATTCTCAAAATTTTTATCATCAAATATTCCTCTGGCAATATAAGAACAAACGCTTTTATCTGTTAAGTAGGAGACAAAAATTATCTTAACTTTAATCTTAGGAAGATGAAAATTTCTTAAGTTTCACTGGATTGCACGTGATTTTTTGTAATTTTTTGTGGGTGTTCACATTATTTATATATGTAAAGATGATGAAGCATAAACAACTTTTCTTGTCACCTAATTAAGGGTGCGATTACATGGAGGCGGATTACGATGTACGGTTGTTTTGATTTGAAATACGAAAAGCCCGCCTTGCATGTTGGTATTAATTTTTTAAAAATTATTTCAAATACCATGAAAAAATATTGAAGTCTGGAAGGAAATAATTAAAAAGGTTGTAGAGGAGCTGAAAAAAAATACGTTCAGCTGTTTAAATTAATTTAAAAAAATAAATAAATAATACCAACATGCAAGGCAGGCTTTTCGTATTTTAAATCAAAATATCCGTGCATCGTTTTTCCGAACTTGCGGGACGTCCATCCGCCTCCATGTAATCGCACCCTAATACAGTGGTATGCTTTTCTCTGCTGCTAAAATCATCTTTTTGTGGTAGTTTGCTTTCAAATAAGCAACGCATTCTCCCTTAAGTTGCACAATTAGCATTACTAGTGTACTTGCTATTCATCTGCAGTTAAAGAAAAAAAATGGATTTGGGGTAATTTAACTAGATGCAATCACCAAATTTCACGGTTTCGTGTGACACGCCGTTCATAATGCACTGGCTGTGCTTGTGTACATCAATGTCAAAAGAAGCCAAATAATTTTGCGATTTAATTTCTAATGACAATGTGAAAACTTGGCAGTTGCTTAGAAACTTTTGCTATGACGCTTTGTATACTATACATGACTAACCAGCTGTCCGACTTCCATCATTTCAGTGTCATCAGCACTGTGATAGTCTGGTACAGTAAGCCTAGAAAGTAAAACCCAAAACATCAAGCTTCTCTTTTAAATTTTAGCAATGAAAGTAAAATACACATGAAAAATACGCTCACCCGATGCTATTATTGAAATGCGATAGTGGCCGTAGGTTCATTTCAGGCGATCTTGGAGAAAACCCATGGTGACGCCTATTATGACTATTACTGATCTGAGTCCTTGACTCGCTTCGAGGAGTTAAAACACGGGGCTGGCTATACATTTCTTCTAATACGCTAGGAGCTACGTAAGTAAAACCCTAGACAATGTATGTATAAAAAAATTTAATGAATTGCACCCTTGAAAAAATATAATCAATCTTTTAAATTGAAAATGTATAAAGTTACTAGAATTCTTTTCGTCTAATGTTAAATAAACAATGAGATTAGATCAGTGCTCACTTGAAATATCATGTTGTCAGATTCACTTAGCATACTCTCAACCGGCGAGTCTACAGGCACTGTGGTGGTGAACTGTTCATCAAATTGCGATGTGTCATCTGCACTTTTCTACAAAACGATTAAGGTACATTGAATTCAATGAGTAGAAAAAAACAGCACCAAGTATAATTGTCTACTGTTTCTTACTAATGCAGGCTTGAAAGGAGGTACTAGTTTGCGCAAAATAACATCTTGCCAATTAAGATGATTAAAAAAACGATGATTCATTATTTGCTCCGCGTCTTCTGGACCAGAACCCAATCTTTGTGGTACCTGTCTCTGTTTAATATTTGAATTATTAAGAAGGACATCATAAAAATAAATCATCACTTTTTAAAAAGTCATTGAACCTCCTGAACTGCTTTACTAACATTGAAATTGAGATAAAACAAAAGACATTATTATAGTTTACTAACGAGAATTAGTGATTTATCGAATCGTACCTTTAACAATTTGCGAATCAAATCTCTAGCATCAGGAGAAAGATACTGTGGGAGGGTCAACTTTCCCTTTAAAATCTGTTCAATAGTTTTCTTCCGATCAGCTCCAGTAAACGGAGCCTAAAAAAGAAATAGATATATTGAATCGATACTTCTATTTTACAAAAAAGCGCACAAGTATTAACGTACCATTCCAGTGAGCATGTCATACATTAGTGCTCCCAGACTCCACCAATCAACTGCTTTACCATGTCCGCTTCTTAATAAGATTTCGGGAGCCCTTTAGAATGTACAAAAAGGCCTTTTTAGACAATAAGTTTCAATATTTTGTTGGAATAAGTATTTTAGTGTTTACTCACATGTACTCAATAGTTCCACAAAAAGTGTGTGTAACTGTGTCATCTTGAATGTGTTCTTTGCAGAGGCCAAAATCAGTTAATTTTACATGACCTTCCCTGTCCAACAGTATGTTTTCAGGTTTTAAATCCCTAAATACATTAGCTATTAATTTCTATGCGATTTTAAATAAAATGAGAAAAAAAGTTTCTTAATATTCTACCTGTATATAATCCCTAATTTGTGCAAGTGTTTTAATGCAAGGATGATTTCTGACAGATAAAAGCTATAAAAGTAATTTATTCGATTATTGGTATTAATTTTTCATAAAAATCTATCTGAATGGAGGGTAAAACTATTATCATACCACGTTGTGTCTTCCAAAAAAATTCCTTCCCTGTCTAGATAAGTAAACAGTTCTCCGCCACAAAGGTATTCTAATATGAGATATAGTTTACCATTAGTTTGGAAGGCATACATTAAATTCACTATAAATGGATGCTGTAAGACAATATAAATCAATTGTAGCAAGCATTGTGACAAAACATCAAATCATTAAAAAAAAAAGAGCAGCCATTGACTTACTTTTACTGCTTCCAAGATATTTCTCTCTGCTTTGGTATGAGCTGTGTCTTTTTGATTTCTTATAATTGATGCTTTCTTTAGCACCTACATTCGTAATACTCATAATTAAATGATTTTTCTTTATAATTCCACTACTACTTTTTTTAACAAAACATCAAATCAATGCAATACATGAAATACACAACTTTAAAACGTGTAAATTAAACAGTAATGACAAAAAAAGTTAACAAAATGATAAGGTTGCGAAATTATTGTTACAAACCTTCATGGCAAATATGCTGCCCTTGTCTTTTCCTGTGATTTTTCTGACTTGGAACACTTTGCCATAGCCACCCTCGCCCAGGATTTTGCACAAATGAAAATCCTCAGGTCCAGTCTTTTCGTGTTCAGGATTAACGTTCTGCTCATTTAACTGTACCTGCTCGATATTGTCGGACCTGTACAAAGAGGAAAATAACAGAAACTGAGAAACAAGGGTCACAACGCAGCGCCACTATATTTCCTAAATCATGCAAAGAATCGGTAAGATTAGTAGTAGGACCAACGACGTCGTCGGCACCAAGGACGAGCTTTCGACACAACACGTGCATCGCTCGACATCGTCATTGGATGGACGCTCGTATATGCATATGTGTATAGAATGTGCAATTGGGCTACCTACTTGTTATCAATATCAATAAATACGCACTATCTGTTGGAAAATCCTTCCTAAACTAAGAAAGCTTGAGCACTTTGCGCTAGAAAAGCACAGAAGGAGCAAGACAAAATTTGAAAAAAGACATGCATACAAAGTAATATCACTTGGAGCCATACAGTATACGTATTAATTGCACTGGCACTCATTGGGCTTGTATGTGAGGGTACACAGAATTTTGTAAAGTTTGAAAAGCAATCCAAGAGAATATTTCTAGTACTATCAAGTCATGTAAGCTTATTCAAAACCTATAGTGTCAGCGGGTGCGGTAGTATTTGCTTACTCGAGCATGTGGTGGACGTCGTGATGGCTGTCATCATAGTCCTCCTGCAAAATAAAAAAAATGTATATGGATTTTTAAATACACTGGGCGAGGTGGTCCATCAAAACAAAGCAAACGATGAGAGGACGAGGGGAAAAGCGATAACCTTGACACTCGCGCGCGTGCATGCCATGTGTGATGGCATGGCCTTCGCGGAAGGCCAGCATGTACGATACTTTATAACTTGTAGAGATGAAAGCGTATGGGGTACAATGTATAAAGTAACTACATAGCTGGGGAACTCAAGGATAGATAGATGCGGTACAAATTGTAACTGGATGCACTTGGGTACCGTTAGGTTGTCGGCCTCGAGAGCGTCATCGTCGTCGGACTCGTCCTCCGTGTTGAAGTTGTCGCCGTCGGGTAGCTCGATATCGAAGACCCCTGCCATGCTTGTGTTGATTCCCCCTGCAGGAGTTGCTGCTGCACTTCTTGTTCGCTCACCTCCTCGGTTTCTCACTTCCTCCGTGTATAATTAGATGTAAGAGCCGTATGATATTACAGGGTGGAAAAGAAAATCCAAGTCCTCGTTATGGTACTCAAAGACGCTCTTTCTCGTCTGTCACGTGTACCCAGACTCTAGCTGTTTTTTATTCGCTTGCAAGCTTGGTTGGTATATTCTACAAGCACGGTGTATTCGCTACTCGCTGGCGTTCTTGCTCTTGATGTTGGCTTTAATTCTATCCAGCTTGCAGTGGAGCCAGAGTGTCAGACGTAAACGAAATACTGATTAAATAAGGTAAGTGTATATTCTGCACGTTCGCAAAGAGGATCGCGACGATTACGTTGCGTGTTGCGTTTCATGTACGCCTCATAGCCCTCATAGGTATATATTTATTATATACACATTGTATATGCATGTATACGCGAGTAAGCAAGTTTGTTGTTGAGAAAGAGCAGTCGACAGACGGACAGACCGATAGACGTGATACGTGATGACTGCGATGACTTGATGAGAGAGAGTGACTATATATATACACGTGAGACGTGAGAGACTGAGAGCTCCATATAGAGACCCGAGTTATAAAAAGTCTTCGGCTAACCGAACGGTATACTTACATTACTTACGCCCCGATCAGAAATTTAATGGGTTTGCCACCTTAGTAAATGGGGTCCCCCTTAGGCTGCCTAGTTGGTACCCCATTAGGCGCGTCACGGGGCGAACTGAGGGTACATTGTAGGCTGCCCCAATAACCTAGCTAAAACTGTTGAAAACATTATATATTTCTGTGTTTGGGTTAAATATATGTAACCGTAATTTAATTCTTCCTTATCTGCACGGCCGATAAACTCCGATAAACTCCATAATCTGCATAGCACGCATGGTAAATCAGGCACATGCTCTTATGATAATTGTTTTAAATGTAATGATGTACCTACACAAAAAATACAAAGGGTATAAGGTAAACTTTCTTTCCTATTGGGGCACACTAGAGAGGATCACATCTACGCCCCGCGACGATGCCATTCTAGGACCACATGTGGTTAATTTGGCAGCCTAGTGTGGACCCCATCAGCACCCTACTAAGGTTTCTGATCGGGACCCTACGGGCCGTACGCTATAAACAGACAGCGGGCCGTACTTATACAGCATGAGCACAGGCTAGCCTTCGGGCCACCTTCGGCTTCCGAAGGGTCAGTTACCAAAGACTGCCCGAAGGCGGCCCAAACATAGAGATAATATAATATCTCTATGGGCCCGAATGCTCCAACCATGATGTAAGAATATAAGGTCAATAAGGTGTGGCGTTGCGCATCCATTTTGATTGACCAATCAGGAACGCTTCCATCGCGCTGCCATGTCTGTCTGCAAATTTCAAAAGCTTTTAAAATATAAAGCATATTAACATAAAAAAACTCGTGAAACAATATATATTTTTTATTTCAATATTTTCATTCCAGTTGTTTCAGTGACCAAACGTACAAATCGTGAATATTCACACAGAAAAACTGACTAGGTAATAATTCATCAATTAACGTACATGTATATTCATACGTATGTCTATATATATATATGTCTCACTTCGAGGTGGATGCGCGGGATAGATTTTAGTTTCAACTTTGGCCACTTCGTTTCATTGTACAGGCTCTTTGGCGCTGTAGTAGTCACATCTTCCTTAAATATGGCGTCGTGATGCAAGGTGCAGAACGGAAGTCGTGATGGAAGGCGCAAAACGGCACGAAAATGAGGGAGCTATTCACATATAGACATTTTTTGCTTATTTCATTGTGAACGTTCATATTGAAAAGGGGGTTCCACTGTTCCGTTAAACTTAAAGTGAGTGAACAGACTGAACAGACCTATACCTCTTTTTCCATCAGGCAACAAAGTGAACAAAGCCTATGGTCGCAACTATGTTGACTGACAGAGAACACAGCACAGGTATGCTCAGTCTGTTCACTCAATTTGAGTTTAGCGGAACAGTAGAACCCCCTTTTCAATATGAACGTTCACAATGAAATAAGCAAAAAATGTCTATGTGAATAGCTCCGAGACCTCGGAACGTCACACCTTAAATTCTTACATCAGAGGTATAACAGCTCTATTTCTCTCTCTCTCTTAATAAAAAAAAATGAAAAAAAATGTAACAAAATAAAATATGAAAAATAATAAAACAAGAAATGAAAAAAAATATGTAATTATGATGGAAGTTAAGCCAATTTTAAATTATAAAAAATTGTATGGAAGTAAAATATTTGTCAGGTGCCAGAGGTCAAAAAAAAATAATAAATGGGATAAAAAGACAGAAGTAGGAATATTAGTACGGTATGAAAGTGTTGGTTATAGAGTACTCATTAATAATAAAATCGTAATTGCTAGACATGTTGATATTGAAGAGGAGGATGTTAAATTAGTAGGTTTGAATGGTAACGAAAGTGAAAATTTTCATGGTAAAGAAAATGATCATAATGATAGTAGCGATAATGATTTTTTTTTTTAAGAAAATATTCAAACTAATAAGATTTATGAAACTACACATAAAAATAATAGTACAATAAGAAGGTCAAGTAGAAAGCGTAAGGAATCAGAAAGGTATGAGCCGGAAAACTATTCAACATTTATTGACGTAAATTACATTAATGCAAACACTCCGTAAAATTATAATGAAGCAATAAGCGATAGAGAGTGTGTTAATTGAAAATAAGTTGCGAACAAGGATATAAACAGCATTATCAAACGTAAAACTTATAAATTAGTACATAGACCAGAAGATAAAAAAATTATCAATTTAGAATGGGTGTATACCGAAAAATCGAATAGTATATACAAAGCTAGATTAGTTGTAAGAGGTTTTGAACAAAAAAAAAAGTGCATGACATCCATTCACCTGTAGAAAAAACACAAATTTTCAAAATTTTATTGGCTCATTGTTTACGGAATAATAAAATTATTAATTAAACAAATGTGTTATTAGCTTTTTTTAATAGGAATGTACAATCTTAAGTATATTGTTACGTATGATATGCTGCGCATATCATACTGACTCACCCTAGTAACGACAAGCCTACGCTAGTAAAGGACACCAATAGGGGGAACGAGCTTAAATAAGGCCCTGTGAATCACAAATTGAGGCACTCGATCGTCTTTTAGGCAAGAGACTGAACGATAAGTAAAAAACACCGCGCGAACCACACACACGCCTCTGCCTTCAAGAAGCTAATAAATAATTGACCAACGAGTTGAGTTCTTTTCGTGACGCACCTCTTTACAAGCTTAATCCTATGAAACAATATGTTAAACAACCAGAAGGTTACTGTGATGAACAGGTAGAGTATGCAGTTTATAAAAGGCATTGTATGGTTTGAGAGAGAGAGAGAGCTCTAGAGCGTGGTATGAGTGTTTTGATACATATTTAAGAAAATTAAATTTCGAAAAAACCGAGAATGATTCTTGTTTATGTTATACACAAGATGATTATTATTTACTTTATGTAATGATCTTTGTGGATACTTAATAATATGTAGTGAAAGTCAAATAAANTTTTTTTTTGTTTTTTTTTTTTTTTTTTTTTAAGAATTGCAAAAGAAGAAATTTCTAAGTCAAAGGAAAATTATAGTGAGAAAATAAAATTAAAATTTGTTTAAAAATTAATTGTTTGGGAGTGTGAGTGGGAATTGTGAGTAAAGGTGTGCAAAAGAGTAACACGGCACGGTTGGCAGATATACATATATAGTGAGGAGAGGGGAAGTGTGTAGAGAACAGTAGGTGAGGGGGACGGGGTAAGGGGAGAAACTTAAGAGGAAGAGACTTCTGATTCAAAAAAAAAAATCTGTCGGTTTTAAAATTCCAGCCCCACGAGTAACGTGACATAAAGAACTTCGTTCTAATAATAATAATAAATGTGTGTGTTGTGTATATATGAGTGTGTGTATTGACCACAAGGCTGAATAACTTATAAATAATAGATTAATACCTACTAAGGTTTTCTATTCTGATAAATATTTTGTAGGATCCGCTGTATGAAGGAAACGACATATACCGAACAACAGGAACGGAACACTGGACCAAAAGTCACTAGATTCTTTCACTCAATAATTAAATTCATTATTTACAAACTTTGTGACATTTAATTACATTAATTTGTATACCTCCGTAATCCGCAAGTGAGGAGGAATCGAATCGTACAGGTAGGATTGGATTTCAACCCAATTTAGCACTTAAAACAAAGTTTTTTATACTTCAGCGCCGCGCTCATTTTCGACTTTTTATTTTGCAAATATCTCGCGAACTATTGATCCACAAATAAAAATTTAAGTGGAGGATTAATCCGCAAGTAAGGAGGAATCGTTTAAGCCCTGAATGGGTGCAAAATATTAATATTTAATATTTACGGGCACCAACTTCACAGGTCTGCATTAGATTTAGCATAATCATGTTCTATAATATTAAAATTAGAATGTAGGTATTTGTTTGATGAAAATAACAACAAACTGATAGTAGAAAGTATATTGTAACCTATACGTGGTGGGGAGGCATATTCTCTCTGTCAAAATACCGTAGGTATTCTGCTAGTACTCTTCTCCCTCCTACTTTAACTTGTATCAAGTTAAAAGGCCTACGCAGTCAAATTGACATACTTAAGGTGCACAGTGCACAGTGCGCAAGAATAACATTGGTTGGTATACCTATATGCATAATACACAGCGTGTTGTGCTTTACGTTTTTACATATATAGATATACCAACCAATGTTATTCTTGTGCACTGTGCTCTGTGCACCTTATGTCAATTTGACTGCGTAGGCCCAAAGTAGGAGGGAGATGAGTACTAGCCACGGTGTAAGATAAGACAGGTGATACGAAGTACCACCTCCAACGGGTTGCAGTTTTGTAGCAGTACCGATCACACTCGTCAGATGGCGTATGAGTAAGAAAGGTGTAGGGACCCCACCGTATGCGAGTGGAGTGGGGAGAGCGAAGAGGAGAGGCCGCTGCGGAGAGCAGTCGAGCAGTCAGTCGTCCCGCTTGAGCTGAGCTATCAGCCACGCTATTATATCAAGAACTATACTTATTGAATAAAGGCACTGTTATCGTCTTACTTAAATAGTTCTCTTCTGTTCTTAGCCACTCTCGACCCCGACTGTTCCTACAAAGGTATAGGGTTTATGCCCTACTATATATATATATATGTCGTCGTGGGAGAAGGTGCTGGAATGAGCAGAGAGACTTTGTATATGAGTGTGTGCTTTATTTACTGTGATTACATGTGTGGCTCGGACTCGAGCTCAACAAGGACTGAAGTTGTCAGTAAGCGGTTACACCGCACGACTAGTATAAGAGTGGGGGTAAGCCCCTACAAAGGCACAATATATAGATATAAAAACTATATCATATAATCGTAACTCTGTTTATTTACAAATTTTACAATCTACTTCTAATGCGTAGAATAAGATACAATGGAGGCAATAAATTAATTAATTAAAAATTAGTTTGACACCAATTTCGATAATTTTTTTTTCTCTCTACTTTCTTTAAAAACATCCTTATTTTTTATGTTAACGTACTGTCTCATTCTCATTCTA